AAAAAACAAAACAAACTCGAATAGAAGAGAATAGAGGAGGCCCTGAATCTTGTCCTGAGACATTCTTTAAAACTAGAATCAAACCTATCACCTCTTAGTGAAATAGCAGAATGACACATAAAATAAAAGATAATACTTGTAAGATTGATTGTTGGTGGTGTCAAGTCAGTTCCTACTAATAGCGACAGTGTATAGGATTTCTGAGGAGTGGCTGGTGGGTTTGAATGGTTGACCTTGTGGTTAGCAGTCCAGTGCTTATCCTACAGTGGCAATTATTAAAAACCATCAGCTTTTAAGAGCTTGAAAGATCAGAAATTTCTTAAAAGCAAAGATGGAAACATTAGGGGACAGAGAAACTAGAAAACTGGAAAAGGGACAAACAGAATACAGTTGAAGAGAATGTTGACACAGTGTGTTGACTATAACTAACGTCACTGAACAGTGTGTGTTGAAAGCTCTGACAGGAACTCCAGAAACTACACATATGAAGAAATTCTCCTCAGAAAGAAATGTGAGGGATCAGAAAGCTGGTATGCAGGTAAAGTTTCTTGTGAATGAGAATTTCAGTTATTGATACAACACCAGGTGAGTAAATTCACTTCTGAGATTCTATGTGATTTTTTTTGTCACTTTACATTTATCTGTTGCCTGAAGAGTACATTTCTAATACAAATAGGCCCATCTGGGGACAGAAAATTAAATAACTGTGTAAGTGTACAAGGAGTACTGGTGATACAGTGGATTAAGCTTTGTGGGGCTAACCACAAGATTGGCAGTTCAAACCCACCAGCTATTCCGAGGGAGAATGATGATGTTGTGTACTCTCATAAAGATGTACAGTCTTGGAAACCCTATGGAGCAGTTCTCCACTTTTCTATAGGGTCATTATCCATGAAATTCAACTTGATAACATGGGTTTGGGGGTTACATAAGTGTACAGTTCAAATAAAAAGGACTGATGCATGAAGAATTTATAAACTGTGATGTTACATCTCCATCCAGAGGCTCTGTAGGAATCCAGATAAATTCTGGACAAGTTTCAACTGATAAAATATTCAATTCTATTTTTTAAAAACTAAATGAGACGTAATTGTGCTTAAAATTTTTGGACCTAATTATGTAAAAATTAGGGGTGGTAGCAGTAGAGTCACTGATGTTTTATGTAATGATGTGTAATAACAATGTGGTAATGTAGTGGTTATGAGTCGGGCTGCTAACCTCAAGGTCAGCAGTTTGAATCTACCAGATGCTCTGCGGGAGAAAGATCAGGCTTTCTGTTCCCGTCAACATTTACAGCCTAGGAAACTCTATACAGAGTCTTCATGAGTTGGAATCAACTCCAGGGCACATAACCACCACAACCAATCAAATGATGTATATAATTCATATATGTAATTCATGTTGGTGAGTAGGTGCAAAATTCTATTACCTAACTAAGAACACCTGGGTGATATTTAATGACTCTGAAACATGTTTTTCTCCTAATTTATACTATACTAACCATAATTTCTCTGATCACTCACCACACACTCTTATAGAAATAAAACGAGATGCTATATTAAAAATAATTAAAATTGCATATTTTACAAAGGTAACATATTATTCTTTGCTGTCTATTGTCTGCATGGTTTTATAACTACTTGTGTTATCTGTGTCTTAACTGACTACAAATGTCCCCAAACATGGAGGAAACACTGTTCTTGCTGATTTCTATTTGAAGTGCACACAGGAGACTCAAATACCCACTTCCATTGAGTCACTTTTTATTCCGAGTGACCCTGTAGGACAGAAGAATTTAATGTTTCCAAGATATAAATCTTTACAGGATCAGATTGCCTCATCTGTCTCCAGTGAAGCAGTAGTTGGGTTTGAACCACTAACCTTTGAGTTAGCAGACTAGTGCTTAATCTATTATGTCACCAGAGGGTTCACTTAAAATATAGTAGATAACAGGCAGATGTTTGAAGTACTCAATTATTCTCTCCAAAAAAAGTTATCATTCTGCCCTTTCTGTTTCTTTCCCTCTTTATTGCTTCTCAATTTCTATTTAAATTAATTGATTATTGTTGTTGTTAAGGGCCAGGGAGTTGGTTTTCACTTACAGAAGCCCTGAATGTGGTTTCCAAGGGGCAGCTGCTTGGTTTGAATGGCTGACCTAGTGGTTAGCAGTTCAGTGTTTAGCCTACAGGGCAACAGTTTCTGCCTATCAACCTTTTCTCCTCTTTGTCTAGGTTTACTTATAAGATAGCACCAATATGCATTGATCCAAGTTTGTCCTGCATCATCCGTGACCTTGTACAAATTAAGCTTTATATACCCAAATATAATTTTTATTTTTTAATAAGAAAAACAGGAACAATAGTCCTATCTCAAGGGTTGTTCTGAGAATGAAACAAAGATTGCACGCCAAATTCAGCAACAACCTGTATGCATTCAATTCATTGTTGTCTTGGCTGATTCACCACTGACCTGTGAATGATGCGCTGGCTCTGCAGGTAGTCGAGAGCCATGGTAAGCTCACAGATGAAGAGCTTCACAGTGTCTTCCTGGAAGCGAACGTTCTGCTGCAGGTGATAACGCAGGTCCCCACCCAGCAAGAGGTCCACCACCATGAACATATCTTCCTCATCCTGGAAAGAGTACCTGGAATACCATTAATAAAGGAAGTTTACCAACCACATCTACAGATTACATAGGCCCCAAAATCGGAGTTATGAACTCAGACTTTGGGAGGAGTTGGGCTATTGTTGTTGTCAGGTGCCATTGAGTCAGAACCGACTCATAGCGACCCCATGCACAGCAGAA